CCCAAAACTTCACAGGTTTGGTAACAATGCAGCCATCAACGCATCTAAGCGTATTATGGGGTGTCATCAAATGCCGTTGCCATGGCGACAGATCATTCGCCATCAAGTTAGTTCAGAAGTTTGCGGTTCAAATATTCTGCTGCTATTCCAAGCCTTTCCACTTTCTTTTCTTCTCTCATCACACATTCAAGCCCCCAGTGTTCATGTATAATTTCAATCTAAATTAGTGACTTTTTTTCTTACACATTACATTTCAACATAGCAGTTTAGCGTCAGATTTTCAGCATAAAGCATTCCCACTAGCAATTTCTTCAGGAATTGCATTCTCTAGTTCTAATTGTTTCTCTGATGTAGCATGAGCCCCCATAATTATGTTATCTAGGTTATATACCCTATTTAAAAAAAGTCCACTCTAACAACGTTTATTTTCAGCATTTCTATTCAATGGCAGTTATAATGTTAACAATTGTAATGCCATTTTAACTGTTTGAATCGGTGAGCGCTGATTTGTATATGTAAAGGGCGCTTTCAAGGGTAGTAAAGACTGGATAAGTGCTGTATAAACAGTCCATTTTCCATGATTGATGGCATTACTTTATGCTTCTCTCAGGCCACAGATGATGAGCCTTGTGAGAAGGACGCCCTGCGGCCGGGCCGGACCCTGGTTGCCGCGGGCTACGCCCTCTACGGCAGCGCCACCATGATGGTGATCTCCACCGGACAGGGAGTCAACTGCTTTATGCTCGACCCGGTCAGTGCTCCTGTCAAGGCCCTGTGTTTCACGTTCAAATCAACCTTGTTTTTATCTTTACTGAGAGTGTCACTTCTTGATCATCAGGCAATTGGCGAATTCATCCTGGTTGATCGGGATGTGAAGATCAAGGAGCGAGGCAAGATTTACAGCTTGAATGAAGGTTACGCAAAGTACTTTGACCCCGCTGTCACAGAGTACCTGCAGAAGAAGAAGTTCCCTGAGGTACAACTGATGTCAGGACATGTGAGGGGGAGAGCTTTAAGCGTGGTAGTGTTTTTGTATGTGCCCAAGGACGATGGACATTAATCGACATGCTTTAAATCAAATATTTGTTAAGATAGACTCATTTTATCTGCAGTCTTTGATGAAAGTTGTGTTTTTTTTTATCTTGTCCAGTGCAGGGTTAAGTTACATTCTAACGCACTATTTTAAATGAATGCAGGATGGCAGTGAGCCCTACGCAGCTCGTTACATCGGCTCCATGGTGGCAGACGTGCACCGAACGCTGATGTATGGAGGCATCTTTTTATATCCAGGAAATGTGAAGAGCCCCAAAGGAAAGGTAAGGAACCACGACTGATTTCTGGATTGCCTAAACATATCAAAACAACTTTAAAAAGAATGTTTTTAAGACACAAATAATAATAGAGAATATAATTATATAAGTAAGTGTATGGTCATTTTGTAAATGGATGAGTCTATACCATGTTAGTTACATTTGACCATGGCAAAATCTGCATTTTGCATTTTGCATTTACGCATTTATGTACAAAAGTTTAAAGGATAAGGCCTCTGATATTTAGCATTATTGTCAGTAAATCGACCAATGTGTTAGTCTGTCTCTCGATACTTCATGATTTCTTTTTAAAATAAGGGTTTCATTTTAAATGTAAGGGTATATCATTTCATTAGTGTAGCACCTTGGCTCATGGATGAATGTTAATGGTTATTTGACAACAACAGAGGAATGAGTTATGTTAGGCTTTGGACACACAGACGATACTTCCCATCAACAGTACTTTGTTGAGACCAAACTGTAGAAAGTGTCACAATGTTGTTTCTTCACTCTCCACATCCTTCCAGTGCTTGCAAGACTGAGCCGAACATTATGTAGTCACATTTTGTAAGGGTAGAAGGTGCCTGACTTGTACTGCATATGACAGATGGAGAAATAAGAAGTGCAGAGAAATAAAGAACAAAAGTGTTAAATAAAGTCCCAGCCCACAATAGAATTAGAAAGTGAATGTAAACGCCCAGGGTTTGCAAGATACCATTTATTTAGTACAATAAACGTTTTTTAAACGCTTTGAAAAGATGCAAAAACAACCATTTTAAATAAGATACTACAGATGATAAAATAAAATAATGAGGGCAACAAAAAAACTGCACCCTAAAAGTCTGTTTTTTATTGCTGTAATCATGCCTTATAAGGAAGTCATATCTGTTGATGGGGGAAAGCTAATGGCAGGAAAAACCAGTTTCAATGTTCACCAGACTATTGTCTTCAATTCATATAAATTAAGTTAATACTGTAATAACCTAAGGTAGTAAAGGAGGCAAAGACAGTTGACTAAGTATGAAATTAAACCATCCAGAGCCTTGCAAACAGGTAATGAAATGTTAGATTTGAATAAGCATTATGAAGAGTTTGACATTGAAGCTAAACCCCGTCCCTCCCCCTTAAAGCTGCGGCTGCTGTATGAAGGCAACCCCATGGCCTTCATCATAGAGCAGGCGGGGGGCTTGGCCTCCACCGGCCTCGAGCCCCTTCTGGACATCCAGCCCGAGAGCATCCACCAGAGGGCTCCAGTGGCCCTTGGCTCCAAAGAGGACGTCCTGGAATACATCTCAATCTGCCAAAAACATGCAAAGAAGAAGTGAGAGCGCACTGACTCACTCTCACACCCATCACGGTCGGGCAAACAACCTTGTTTCCCAAACTGGAAGTCCGCTTTTTTACGACCCTTGATAATGGTTTCTTACTTTAAAGAAATGTGGAGTTACACGGTTTTGAATATCATTTGAGCAATGCTCATGTTCTGCTGATACATAATAGAAAAAAGGTTGTTCAATCGGAAACATGAACGCTGTACAATAAGCTAAATTACACACACATTCCACACAAAGTTACCAAAGATGAAAAGTGCCAACAAATAACAAAACAATTGCACTAAAAAAACCTGAAGAATTGTTTACCTCCAGTTGTGCCTTTTTCCTTAAAATGAAGATACATTCTAGTCAGGTGAAGGAACAATACAACCTCTATGCATACACCATGATGCCTTTTTCAATTATGTGAATGTTGGAGTCTCAATAAATCCAAATGAGTCTTAAGAAGACAAGCAGTCTTTTTATCATTTTGAAACATGCATCAAATCCTTAAAGTGAACAGATTGTTTGTATTTGTATTTTGTGCCTCTAATGTGACATGTCTCCTGCTTTAATGTTCAAGAGCTCTTTATTTTTCTCATACTGCCTGTGCTGCAAGACCTCTTTTCACCCTCTGTCTGAAACCAGAGCCCAGTCTGCTCTGATTGGTTAGCTGGCCCTCTCTGTTGTAATTGGTCAACCTCTTAGAGATGTCCCGCCCCTTAGCTTATCACGTACAATGTGTTGGAGCGCTAACCATATAGGCGCAAGTGTTACATGGTGATGTCACTATGTTACAGATGTAAACATAGAACTTCAATGGAGGTGTTTCAGGCAGGGGGCGAGTGTGTGAGAGAGAAACTGGAGGGAACTTTGGGATGTTAGACTTTGCACACCATTTACAAAATAACACACTATGAGGAAGGCTAAAAGCATAATGGGGCCTCTTTAAAACTCACACACAGGCAGTTGCATTCTTTATAAGTATTCTAAAATATTCTTCATAAGGAGCCCAAACTGTTTCAAATATAAATACTCTCATCCACTGTCTGCTTTTATCTATATTAGATGATTACAAATCATTATTATTAAATGATAAAAGAGATACATCAACAAAACAGCTGAAACCTGAGCGATAGTGTAAGTGGGTAGAATAAGCAAATACTTGAGAGAGGAAATGAAGGACTACAAATAAAGTCATTGCATTTCAAGACATTTAAAAGTTAGAAGATATACTGTCAAAAAAAGTGAAGAGATACTTAATCCAGAGTCGACCTTTCAGCTAAAGGTCAGTGTGAGAGCACAGAGCCCTATTGACCTTTAACGCTCGCTGCAGAACTCAATCTGCCTCTCTTTATATCTCCCATCTCTCCCTCTGGCTTCAACCCGTGTCGTGCTGAAGCTCAGAAACGTCAAAACGGAATAATCCCTTTAACCTAAGAGTTAGTATGAGTGAAATAAAGCATATTACATCATGATATGCACATGCTTTCAGTTCTGTAATAAACGTTACATTACGATGTTCTAACATGAGTCAATTTCACAGTTCACCACAAATAGTGGAAAAAAACAAATACATTACTTAAGTAAAATGTTGACATAACTGTTCTTTACTTGAGTTTTTACATTTCTTTATGCTACTTTTATTCTGCTCATCCACATCTAAGAGGCAAATATCATACTTTTAACTGCACTACATTTTTTAACACTAGTTACTTTTTACATTAGAATACATGATATACTTATATGTTATGATACAGTACTTTACTACCAATCTACCCAGTTTAAATATGGCTCCCCATTGACAAACAACACTACAATGTATTTGTTAGCAATGACAGGGTAAGATAATATTCTATAAGACCATCATTCTGTGAAAGAAGCCATGCCGCATTCAGAGTACATTTTGCCTATAGTACTTTTGTACTTTTACTTGTTAAATGTTGAATTCAGAACTTGTAATGATGTATTTTCTGACCTTAGAATTTCTACTTTTACTTAAGAAGAGAGCTTGAGTACTTTCTGCACTTCTGCACCACATGAACCTATATGAAGAACGTGTGTGCAGATATGTAGAGAGTTGTTCCAGCACGCAAAGGATCTCAGTGTCGTGTGCAAACACATGTGTTTAAAATACTGAGCATGAACCTTCAAGTTTTTGTTCAGTTCCTGTTTACTACACAGGGCTTTCCTTGTGCAGGACTAAGCTGTGCCTGTCTCTCCTGCTGACACCTGAAACCCCCTCACCCGACTCACACACACACCCTCAAGCTTCCACACTCACAAATAGCTCTCTTTGGCGTGCCGTCATGGCTCTGGGTATGAAAAGTACGTAGCTGGTAATAGGGTCTCTCACTCGCTGCCCGTCCTTCGCCTTATCTGCTGCCCACCAGGAGGGACAGAAGGAGCAGAAACCAGCATGTCGGACCAGTCTGCTTTTGACACGGACGTATGGACCCTGACCCGGTTCGTCATCGAGACCGGCCGCCAGGCTAAGGGGGCGACCGGGGAGCTGACCCAGCTCATCAACGCTATACTGACCGCCGTCAAAGCCATTTCCTGTGCTGTGCGCAAGGCAGGCCTGGCCCACCTGTAAGTACTGAGGTACTGGAATGGGATACATGGGATTAAGTGCTACACATGCACCACACATTACCGACTGTAGTATGTTGTTTAAAAAAGACTGAGGTACTAATTGTATTTGTTTAAGTAAAGAAATGCTTGCGTCCCTTTAACGAGAGGTCAGAGGTCAAGGTTAGCTGCAGAACAGCAGCCAGCGCTGGTAGGAATTCAGTGTCAGCTATAGGTGGTTGTTTGACATTTTGCTTCACTGCCACATTTGATTTAAGAGCTCAGGGTGTGTATGTAACTGGAGGATTTAAACTCTCACTCATGAGACACTGGTAATGCTGATATGACTGTGTTGAATGCCTGCTGTGTTGTATGCAAAGACAGTGAGCTTTTGTTGATTTAAGGTGCATTTCAACACTAACTTCAAATGTAGTTTATATGAATTATTGTATTCTATGTTATGTCATCTTATCTATCACATTTTTACTTTAACTTCTTATGATTGTACACATATTTGTATAATATGTTATAGTCTAACACAGAGCAACTGTCATGAAATCCAATTTCCCCCGGGATAACTACAGTATTCTGACTGGTGCACGCAGGCAGGGCTTGGCGGGCTCGGTGAACGTGACGGGGGACGATGTGAAGAAGCTGGACGTGCTGTCCAACGTCCTGATGATCAACATGCTGCAAGCGTCCTACGGCAGCTGCTGCATGGTGTCCGAGGAGAACAAGGAGCTCATCGTCACCCCCAAAGACAAGAGGGTGAGGAGGAGCAGCTCACTCTGAGGATGGGGTGATGGACTTAGGCAGATATTGTGCTCCGTAATACACCTGTCCTGTAATCCACATGTTGATTGGAAAGGATGAGCTTTATATCAATTCCCAGGCAGCAGCACACAGACTTTTCAAAAGGACTTTTCAAAAGCAATTAAACTCATAAAGTCAGTTGAATAAAATATATTATTATTTAAATCTGTAAACTGTAACATATTGACTCAAAACTCCCTTTTGACCATGAGTCAGAAGTAGGTCAAACAAACCATATTACTGAATTATATCTATATGCTTTTATTTAAGTTATAACCAGTTAATGAAGGATGTTTCAACATGAGTTAAGCTGACTAGAGCTTCCTTGTACGCAATATAAACGTAATCATGTGGAATACGTATGTTGATACATAGAACTTTGGAGGAGGAGGAACGTTTGTTATCAATTCAGAATATCAGAATACCTTTATTCGACCCACAGCTGGGAAATGTACAAGGTCTCTGCATTTGACCCTTCCCAGTGTTAGGAGCAGTGGGCTGCCATTGGAGCAGTGTAGGGAACTCAGGGATACCTAGCACTTGGTCTTTCTGGGACTCAAACTGGTGACCTTCCGGTTCCAGAGCCAAGTCCCTATAGACTTAGCCACCACCGCCCAATTTGTTTGTCATTAAAGTGTATTCTCAACCCTTTAACTCTATGTTTATGAGTTGTATCTATTAGCTGTATTAGTCTTAGTCTAATTAATTTAGAGGAATTGAAATAATAACACAGACAGACAGCACATAAAAGTTATTGAATATTGAATGAAACTCCTGAGTGCTGCTGAATTAGACTTAAGTGAATCCATATCAGATTTACAGCAGCAACAAACAACTGAATGCTATTTACACATGACCTATTTTCAATTTAAAGGTCATCTTTTTAAAGTCTCTTATAAAGAAAAACAGCTTAAAAGTGAAATTGTTCAGTTTTTATTCAAACATAATGACGTTTTTTTTTCATAATTTGTTTGTTTTGTCACAGGGAAAGTATGTTGTCTGTTTCGACCCTCTGGACGGCTCCAGTAACATCGACTGCTTGGCTTCTATCGGCACCATCTTTGCCATCTACAAACGGGTGAGTGTGACCTCTGCAGTGATGCACGAGCCATGACAAAAAGATTCTGATGTCACAATGTAAGAATGTTTTTCATGCAATTTTACTTTTAATAAAAAAAAAAACATCAGACAATCATAGCACCTTATTATTCCTATTTCCAATAATTGTATAATAATTAAATGTATCACATTGTATGAACCATCAGAAAATGTGTATGTTGTATAGTAGGATAATTACATTTTAAGAAAACATATGTAGTTACTCTCTACAGACACAAGGGGGCACTGTTGTGCAACTAATTCCGGTTGACACTATTATAAATAAGTAGTCAATTATTTATGTCTGGGTTTAATCCCCCGCTTTTAGCCTATGTATGTGAATTGACGTGCTATTAATTCAAAATGCATTGATTGTTCATCTTGTTTGTGAACAGCTTGAGGAAATGTATCGCCTTTTTCTTTTACGCAAGTAAAACACAACAGTGGAGAAATATTCTGTTACTAAAATCTGCCATTCAAAAATGTTAATAAGTATTAGCATCAAAAATACTTTAGGTACCAATACAAAAAGTATTGATTATGCAGATTGACCATTCTTTAAAATGATTTATACTGTATCAAAGATTATACTTCATTTTGTATTTTGAAGTCGTTAAAGGCAGGGATAACTGTAACGACTTTGCGTTTTGCCAGCTTTTTAAAACCAAAATAGTGAGTCACAATTCATTAGTCAATTACATTTGTATATCAATATGAACCTGGAAAGAAGCTTATTTTATAGCTTATCTTGTCAAATAAATGTAGTGTGTAAAAGTAAAATATGTGCTTCCAAATTGTAATGGAGTAGAAGTACTAGCATAAAATAGAAATGCACAGATAAACTACAAGTACCTTAACAATGTACTTAAGTGCAGTGCTTAAAGTGATGTCACTATGTTACGGAAGTAAACAAATAAGTCCAACGGAGAGGCGTTACCTTCCACCACTGCCTTTTTACTGTAAATGTGTTTGCATACAGTGCTTCCAACAGACATCCTGAGGGCCATAGCTTCTGGGAAACTGAAGTCTCCAGGACCCCTGTTCATGTTTTCTTCTTTGTTGGTTTATCTGTTGTTTTATGGTCCAGGTAACAGATGGGGAGCCCACAGATAAAGATGCCCTGCAGGCAGGAAACAACATAGTGTGTGCGGGCTACACCCTGTACGGCAGCGCCACCCTGATGGCCATCAGCACCGGGGCCGGACTCAACTTCTTCACCCTGGACCCTGTGAGCTTCACTCTGCATCATGTCCACAGCTTCATATACAGCTCTCCTCTGACCTCCACCGCTGGCTCTTCTTTTAACATTCTGCTCTGACAAACATTATCTCTGCTGTTTACTGTTATATGCTTTTATTGCCCTATAACTGCTTTTATTTGAGAAAACACACAATATTCTGTCAATCATTCCTCCATGCTGAAAGTCTTCACAATGCGATCAGCGATGGAGCGGACTGTAAACACACATACATCTTTTTTTATTTTGCAGGAGTAAGTGCTACCTTTTTCATAAAAAGCCTTGAAGATGCAAACTTTTGAGATCTTTCTTCTTTACATTGGCAGTTGTTTCCCTTTTTTAATATCATTTTTATATAGATTTTGAATATCTTTAATGTTTTTATCATTTCTTTCAGTCTATAAAGCCATGTTATGATGTATCTTACCTTTATCATATTCCTGATTCAGATCAACTTTTGTTATGCTTAGGTCATTATTAGGTTAACTGATCATTAGGATTTTACCTTAGGAAAAGCAGCTTTTATTATAACAGAATGGAAATAGTCGACTCGTATTTGTAAGTAATTTAAGTTGTTGTTGTTAAGCATCCAGAAAACATGAGAAATCTAGAGTGTGTTTAACCCTCCTATTGTCTTCGTGTTCCCGGTGTTCGCTGTCAAATTTGACCGGTCCTGTTTGAACTGCTATTACTTTAACACAAAAACCATTAATCATCACCAAATTTCATTTAACACCCTTTCAAACTGTAAATATTGTATCAGACTGGTATACATGAAAAACTGCAGTAAATATACAAAGAATAGACACTGAACATGTATTGCGTGTGCCAGGTGTGATCCATGTGGGGGGATGGGCACATAAGAGCGGTGTGTGTGTGTGTGTGTGTGTGTGTGTGTGTGTGTGTGTGTGTGTGTGTGTGTGTGTGTGTGTGTGTGTGTGTGTGTGTGTGTGTGTGTGTGTGTGTGAGAAACAGTGTGTGTGTCCGTGTGAGATAGAGAGTGTGTGTGTGCGCGTGTGTGTGTGTGTGTGTGTGTGTGTGTGTGTGTGTGTGTGTGTGTGTGTGTGTGTTTTATCTGATCCGGATGGTTACTAATTCCTTTTCTTTATGGCGGTCATTTTTGACCGGGAACACCATGGGTGTTACAAAGTTGACTAAATCATCCAAACTTCAATGAAAGTGGTGATCAGACAAAAAACAAATGTAAACAAAAAAGTTATGATTGATGAAAGTAGTAAATCGGTCAGATTTGACCCGAAGACAACAGGAGGGTTAAAGGGTGCAAACAATTAATCTTATTTGATATTACATTATTATTTTATAATACAGAACATGTTATTTTGCATTCTCCTCTCCTCCATTTTTTTTTTATGGACTCTCTTCACAAGTATATTGAGGTTATTTATAAGAAATAACATACGTTATTTCCCATGAGTTTCCAAATAATTATTTCTCCAAAAAGACATATAAAGCTGTTTAAATAATTTTGTCCACTTATCTTTTGAAATACGTTCTTCAGAAACCTCTCTTTGATCAAATTAAGACAAACCCACCCTCATTTGAATTCCTCTGTTGTTGTTTTAATAAACCCATTCTTGTCGTTTTCCCTGATTATCCGAGTTAAACATTTTGTTCTTGTTCCTCAGGCCATAGGCGAGTTCATCCTGACTGAGAGGAACGTGAAGATCAAGCAGAAGGGAAAGATCTACAGTCTGAACGAAGGCTACGCCAAGTACTTCCACCCCTCTATCAACGAGTACCTCAAGCACAAGAAGTACCCCGAGGTGAGAGCCAAAGTGAAACACAGTTTAGAGAAACTGATATCACAAACATAATCCGATCCAAAGCTTTGTCATTTATCGTTTCCACTTTGTGGTTGTGAATCTGATATCTTTAACCAAAACTGATTAACATCTGTTGTGCTGACACAGCACTATGCTCAGGAGGACGTGAAACACCAGCAGCACACTCATCACATGAATTATTTCTGACAAAGCATTTTCTCTGGTAGAATGAGTTCAAAAGGGCCCGCTCCTCAGCCTATCATGTAACATGTGTTGGAGATCTAGCCAATAGAAGCCTGAGTGTAACATAATGTTTTCAGTATGTAACATAAGTTAACAAAAGAGTCCAATGGAGGCGTTACAAGCAGCGGGGGAGTGTGTCAGAAAGAAACTCCTTACTCTTGCGATGTTAGCCTTTGCAGACCTGCACAGAAACCTTTAAAACACACTACAGGAAAGTGAAAACCCCAAATAGTTACCCTTTAACAAGGAGTTTTGGTTGGCACCAAACAAAAAAAGGGTAAATTGGAGGGTTTTTAAAAGTCTTTCTAAATAAAGTATATTTTTATAAAACCTTAAGAGGAATCTTACTTTTTCTTTAAGAAACTGCCATTATCAACCAAACTTTTAGCTCAAATAAGGAATTTAGTTTTATTGTGAAAATTATAAAAGATGTGGAATAGTTTGTCAAAAGTAAAAAAAAAATACAATTGGCCAATGGTTTGCTGCAGCTCAAATAGACTTAATAGGAATCAGTAACTTAAAATACACATCAAACTAGACATTCAAATACAATAAATTAATTTAAGTTGTAAGTTTAATGTAGAGAAAAGGGGGACATGTAAGGTGATAGTCTCCGTGCAGCCTGGTAGAGACAGAGAGCAGCCGACCCGCAGACATGTGATCCGTCAGAGTGAGGCGTTCCCCTCAGACAGGAGAGACTCGGTCAGCTGAGCTGCAGCATGGCAACACAGTTCACTGCAGGAAACACGGTGTTCCTCAGGAAACTGCAGCTACTCATCTAGAACTCTGATCCCCACAAGGCTCGCTCAGCACTTCTGCAGCACGGTCACCAACATGACCTCAAAGTCATGAGTGATGCTTTTGCTGATTTCATTGTCATTAGGGAAATATCATCTTGAATGCCGATCTCTAAAGCTTGTTATAGGCCACAGTGGCAGCAAACTGGAATAAAAACGTTGTATCACCGTCAATACATTTGATATAAGGACTTTAAACCCTGAAGAGTCGCCCTGTAAAGTTTTCTTCGGGACAACAGCTGTAGTGTGCTTGAATTCACATCACTGAGAAAGGATTCCAACAGGGTCAGAGCAAATAAAGTAAACAAAACATCTTAAGGAATGTTTCAAACCACTCTCTTCGAATAAATACACTTCTTCTCCTCTGTCCAGATTACTCCTAATGTTTCAAACACTTCCATCTATGAATGGCCGTGCAGCAGCCGGTCTTTATGGACCTCATAACTGACAACTTTCTGTCAGTCACTTTGTTGTGCTGTCAGAGCCGACACTTTGATTTGTTCTGCTTTCAGAGAACATTGGAAACTGTTTATGTGTATCTTACAATGTCCTTTGACTTTGGAGAATCTTATTTGTAATTTGTTTCTTTTCTCCTACGTCTTTTGTTCAGCACTTTGAATTGCCTTACTGTTGAAAAGTGCTATACAAATAAAGTGGCCTTACCTTTTATGGTATTATAGATGTTAAGTTAACACTAACATAACATACAAGTAATCAATATTTTTAAAGTGTATAATTTGAAAAACAGCTCAAAGTGTGTTACAAATCCAAACAAAATATGTAAATTCAGCGGGTTAGTAATGTAGTTTTTTTGCAATAAGATGCCATGCCCTTATTTATGACCTCTGATGCTCGTCTTAATTTCCTGTAAGAGTTCAAGTGTTGTTTCAGGGCCTTTAAGACTTTACAAAAGTACATTTTGCATGACAAAAATGTATCAGTAGTGCCACAGAGTTCCTATTGCAACTTTCTTCTATCAGTTAGAATCCTTCATCGGTGGAACAGTCATCATCACGTTACCCTTCACTCCACCATCATGACACAGCACAATGCAGCGGTAAACCACACTGTTACTCACTGTCCTATGAGTGTTCACATAGCAGACACTTGTCTCACAGGTTGTACTGGAATGTGAATGTTGCTAAAAAAGGACGCACGGAGAAGTTGACATTTAGTTTGAATATGGTGTCCTTTTACCTTTTTTTAATTTCTCATTCACTTTAACCAGTTGTGCGCTAAGGCATGCCTGCTGTTGGCAGATAATCACACGTGAAAGTCTAGAAAATCAGGAAAATTCAAGTTATATTAACAACACATCTTTCCATAAGTTCCTAAACCCTCTTCCAGAGACACAACACTTACTTTAAATCAGATTGTTTGCATTCCGGGATGTTTATTTCACAATTCAAAGTATTCAATTTGCAACCAGCAGAAGATATTACCACTAAATAGTTGTCTAACATTGGCCCATTTTTTGAAATACAAGGATACAAACTCTTTGTCTTCTCTGTCAGGGTTAATAAGCTTTACGTCATGAGTAGAATTTCCCACACATTCTTCTTATTCATGTTTCCTCTTTTTATTTGAGGTAGTTTCATGCCGTCTAAACTGTTGCCCACTGGATGTGTTTTATAGGAGTGTTATGTCTATTATTGTGAAATACTATGCGGGAACACACACACACACACACACACACACACACACACACACACACACACACACACACACACACACACACACACACACACACACACACACACACACACACCCCTCCCTCACGATGAGTGGGATGTGACTCAGCACCACATGACTCTGCATCACGTTGAGCCGGCCTCAACACGCAACACACTACAGGTTCTACTTTTAAGACAGTTGTTTCGTTGTTTCGTTTGTTTTGTTTGAAGTTCCCGTTTTAACAGTGGAATTTTATGGAGTGAGCATTAAAGTGTGGAATCAGTGAGTCTTAGAAAACATGGTGAAATTAATTAGATGAACTCTTAAATAATGAGGGATCAATACAAATAAAATTTGTTTTTGTGGTGGCAGAAAGCTAGTGTGGGTAACAGTGAAGAAGCCAGCAAGACAGATAAGCTATATTTATATTAGATTAGATTAAATCACACATTAGATTAAATTATTCAAGCAAAACATGTGACTCAATGATGGCGAATGTTTTCCAATGAAAGCAAAAGCACAAGCTCCAAAATGAATATAGTGAGAAAGTGATTTAGGCCAAATGATTGGACAGGCGTATTACAGTCCAGCTACAGCCAACATGTGATTGGTTGCTTGCTGTGGGATGTATTTCTACAAATATGTAAAAAGATGTTAGCAAGATACATGACCCTCTCTGGTTTTAACGTTTGTTGCAGCAGCTGCAGGCGGACTTTGACCGTCTGCTGTTTGCTGTTTGGTTTTTCTTCGTCGGCAGGTCAGAGCGCTTCGAGATTTGTTGAGGCTGCAGTTTTCAAATGAGCTGCCTGACTGATGGCTTTATAGATGACAGGTTTTAAAAAAAAAGTATACTATAAATGTCCAGTGAAGCAAAAATATGTGTTTCAAAATCAACCACTACGATGTTTGCACACCAGATTTCCTATTCTTACTAAACAAAATAATGCAAAAGGGATCGTTACATTCACTGATGTTTTATGAGGTGAACATGTTTCTATTTCAGTGTGTGAATGGTCACACATAACTAAAGAGCAGGGTTTTTTTCCTGTAGGATTCTTTCTTTTTTCTCTTTTAACCAACTGTTCAACAACATGTTTTTTTACCTAACAGGCCATTTAACGTGCCTTTTTACATTCAAGCAGATTGTTTGTAGGGAAGTTACACTTATCAAAGTGATTGCAACACATCCATTAACACATAACGTCCATTCTTAGAAGTGACTGCCAGCTGACCTTAGATCAGGATCACACTCTCTTTACAGGGTAACAAACCAACGGTTCTGCCTGGATCAGAATTCTCCTCACTCGTTAAACCCTCACGATGCAGGTTTTGATTTAGGTACAATTCTTCATTCATTCATTCTTTGGCAAAAAAAAGATGTGTAACATATTGACCAAATGAGTGAAGAATTGAGCGATTTCAAGCTGCATGGGGGGGCGTGAGAATCCTTTATGTAAAGTTCCCGCACACCCACCATGAAAACCTGTTAGTATTGGAATTGGTTGTTACTGAATACAAGCTGCTGTTCTCTATCAGAGAGGAAACTACCAACCTTCAACCTGTACTATTCTATGACTTTCATGGCAAACAATACTATGACTTTTTATTTTCATAATGCATATACATATAAAGTATTTAATTCAACATAGAATGTGGCATGCATTCACATTTGTATGACTCTTACAGCCGCTGCCTTCCTGGGGCTGTCAAGGCTGGTAAACCTGCTTGTGTGTGTGTGTGTGTGTGTGTACACCTGAGCGGCGCAGTTCCTCCGACGTCCCGCCCTCGCTGCATCCGAAGAGGTGATTGGATGAGACGTCATCCAATCCCCACCCTTTCCGGCACATCTCCCGGGGGAGGAGTACAAAGGCTGGGAACGGAGATCATTCTGGAGGCTCTGTGTAGGGAGACAGACGCCTCTAGCCTCGCGATACTTACTGTGTGTGTTATACTGTTAGCTCCCCCTGTAATCCGCAGATACTTAGCCGAGTGCAAGTAGTGTGTTGTACCTTTCTTATTGTGTAACGTTGTGTAGGAGTATTAGCTTAGACCCAGGTGATTAGCACCTGTTGACCAGCTGTGTTATCTGTTTAAAACGCGTTAGCTTAGACCCAGGTGATTAGCACCTGTTGACCAGCTGTTATCTGTGCAAACCGTATTAGCTTAGACCCAGGTGATTACCACCTGTAGACCAGCTACAGCTGTGTGTGTGCAGCTTTCTTGATTCACATGTTGTACCCCGTGTAACGGGAGGGTTTTGTTTCTTTATAAACTTCCTTTTGAAGTTCTCTCCTGTTATAATAAAACCACTTATAATTATTACCAATACCACTCTGGTCGTGTTATTTCCCTTTGGTTCCCCTAGCCCAATAGGGAACGTAACAGGCACACACTGCAGTTCATATATTGGCCGATTCTCTTCCATTATGCCAAGGACTAGTTCCGAACCCCCATCTCATACACGACGCTCCCTACTACGTGTTGCGTGGGTCCTTGCTTGCGATCGAGGCCAGGAAAAATGACAACCTGAGCTAAGGGACGTGTCCGACCAAAACACGGTTGGACTGTCTTGTGTTATGACGTGGTCCTAATGTTTACCACTTTATGTTACAGTTTTGATGGCTTTTTATGGTCGAGGAATTTTGGTTGAGCGGCGGCAAGATGAAGGTTTGCGTTGAGATGTATAATGGGCGCCAGTCAACTCCGCCTCTACCACACGGGAGCAGC